GCGCCTAACAAAGACTACTCATTGTCACTGTTACCTTAGCCACTTTTCTCGCTTGCACCACCCACCAGTCTTCTATATGAGTCTGAGACTGCAATCAAACAATTATCAATGCCAAAATATAATGAGCTGGTGGATGGGTGAACCAGAACCTCTGGGGGGTTGAGAAACAACTTTTTTTGCATTTTCAGTGAATGGATGGCCTGAAAACCAGATCCAAATTGGAAATGCACTCTGTGATATAGAAAGAGACACGGGGACAAGGTTCTAGGAGTCTGAGGGAGATCAGAGCACAGGCCACGATAGGGGCTTGGGCAGGAAGGCAATGAGAGCCATGCTGCCATCTGGCAGGAAGCCAAGGCTGCCCACCCACCTGAGCCCCATCTCTTGAAATTTCTGCAGGACTGACCTGGCCAAACTCTTGATATTCTACAAAGACCTGAACCAAAGATCCATCATGGAGAGCCCAGCCAACAGCGTGAGTAGTCTGCTTGTTCTGTATGTCCCAGGTGTATCAATATGCCTATCTGTCTAGTCTAGAGGAACAGTCACTGAGGGAATCTGACCTGGTGTAGGAGGGCCAAAGCCTCAGAGTAGAAGCCCAGAGTGAGAGGAGATGGGCCTGTAGCTGAGGCCAATTGGAAAAAGCCCCCTTTTGAGATAGGGTACTCGCTAAGTAGCCCAGACTGACCTTGAACTGGCAATCATTCATCCCTCTGCTCCCTGAGTGCTGGATTGCAGGCATGCACCATGACTCTCAGCCTTGAAGTTACAGTGTGGTCTCCCTTACAGATTGAGATGCTTCTGTCCAACTTTGGTGGACAGCTGGGCCTGTGGATGAGCTGTTCTGTCGTCTGTGTCATCGAAATTATCGAAGTCTTCTTCATTGACTTCTTCTCTATTATCGCTCGCCACCAGTGGCAGAAAGCCAAGGATTGGTGGGCCCGGAGGCGGGCACCTCCCTCCCCTGAGACTCACCCCAACCATCAGGGCCAGGATAATCCAGCTCTGGATACAGACGATGACCTGCCCACTTTCACCTCTGCTATGCGCCTGCCTCCAGCCCCAGAAGCCCCGGTGCCTGGCACGCCACCCCCCAGATACAATACCTTACGCTTGGACAGTGCCTTTTCCTCCCAGCTCACAGACACTCAGTTGACCAATGAGTCCTGAGGCAGAACCGGAGGACAATCATAGTCTAAGGAGACTCTCTGACACAGACAGGCCCTCCTATCCTTGCTTGGGGCTTTTGATACACGACTAACAGCCTACTGTGAACAGGACGTGGCTTGGGAACCCACAGAAGGACCTGATGGGCCCTGCCCAACACTCATAACTTCCAGAGTGAGTTATACTCTGCAACCTGGACTTGGCAGTTCTGAGCTGGAGAGCCAGCAGTAATGGCCTTGGGTCAATAGTGGGCTCTTCACAGGACTGCAGGAGAAGTGTGCTTCGAGAGCCCCAAGCTCAGGAGTTCACCTACAATATCCCTGGTCTAGGCTGTAGTCCAAGCATGCAATCTTGGGCTGCAAGGCTGGCTAGCCATCACCTGATGTGGGTGACAAAAGAAATTAGCACCATCTTTGGGTATCAACTGTTGGTTGCTGAACTAAGCCATTGACACTGGGACAAGGTGTACTCTGCATCCTCAGACAGACAGTTGGCCCAGGGCCTGGGAGCGTGTTTGGAGAGGGCACAGGAGAGAGAGGCCAAGGGGTGTGGCAGGATGTCCCCACTCTGGGAGCAGGGTGGGGCGGTAGAGAAGGGCCAGTTAGAGGACATAGCTAGACACTCCTCACAATTGGTATTCCCATAATCTCAACTCAAGAGTGAAGTTCTGGGAGTTGTGCTAAGCACTTACATAAACCACCCTAGGGCATAACAAACATCAGACCACGGACCCGATCCTTTATTTTGTCATTGAACTGAGAATATGTGTGTGTGTGTATGAGTGTGAGTGTGTGTGTGTGTGAGAGAGAGAGAGAGAGAGAGAGAGAGTGATGTATATGTGTGTTTATAATTTTTACATAGTTAATATATACATATATATCAAAAAGAGAATTTTTGTGACTCATGAAAATTATATGAGTTCAAATGTTAGTGTCTATAAATAAAATTTTATTGATACTCGGCCATGCCTATTTATTTGTACTTTGTTCATGGATGCTATGCTAGCTGAATTAACACAGCTGAGTGATTAAAACTTTGGCCCTTTCCAGAAACAGTCTGCTGACTCCTAGGTTAGTCCATTAAGGAGGTATAGAAACTAGAGCAAGTTATTTGTTCAAGATGACATAGCCAGAAAGTTGCAGAGCCAGGATTTGAACCCAAGCAGCCTAACTTGCGGGCATGAGCACTCTCATTCCCCTATCCTGAATGCAGTCTCTGTGTGCATTAAGTATGAAGCTGATGTCACTTGTGGTGGAAAGAAGAGGAGGCTTAACACCCAGGATCTAGACTAGAAGAAGGTCCTTTGTGCATAAATCAGAAAGACCTGCATTTGGGGACTCATTGACACACAGGGACAGAGGCTGGTGGAGTCCAGGGTCTTTGTGAAAGAGGCTATGGGGACCCTACATGAGCAAAGGCCACAGGTCTCACCCCATCTATGCATCCCACGCCTGCACTTATAGTCACCGCCTCTGCCCCGTGTAGTATTTCCGCTGGTTCTCAGGGGTCAGGGAACAGATGTCATATGCTGGGAGCTGTGCTACGCACTTACATAAATCACCCTAGGGCACAACAAACACCAGCCTACATGATGACTGTGGGTTACATGGCACTCCCTGGGGGTGTTGAAGCAGCTAAGTCTTAAAGGTATAAGCCTGGCTGGACTCCTGGGGGCTACAACCGGTACTGAGAGGAAACATGTAACAGACACCCACTTGGACACCACTCAAAGGAGATCTAGGGACCGTGCCCTCAAATCCATGGAACTGGCCAGCCTTGGCATGTTATCCTAACAGGAACACTTCCAGCAAGGCTGAAGCTGCTGCCGGGTGTGTCAAAGGTGAGACCGACAGCATCTGGCTTAATTGTTCTCTAGTAAATGGGCGTGCACCCCTCCTGGCTCCAGCCATCTGCACGCCTGCTTGACTCCTGCAATGTTGCCTTTTCTCCTTTTCCATTCACCCTTCTTCTAGCGCCACAAACGTCTCACCCCTTGGTATAAGTTTTCATCCATTCGTGTCTCTCGTTAGATCGTGAACTCTACAGAGACAGGAATAATGTCTTACCTCTTTGCACTCGGACTGAGATAGGACTGAACACAGTGTTGACATTTAGTTGTATGAAGCTTATCAGGACAATAGTAATTGGACTGACAAGTTGGCTCAGTGGGTAAAGGAACTTGCTGCCAAGTTAAATGACCTGAATTTAATCCCCAGAATACACACGTGAAAGAGAGAGAGAGAAAAAAAAAAACTAAGTTTCATCTGACCTCTACATGTATGCCACAGCATGTGTGCCCACACAAAGCAAACAAATAATTTTTTTTTTAAAAAAAAAAGAACAAGAGTGGCAAAAAAAATTTCCAGATCTTATTATTGGCTAGGGGTTCTATGAGGTTCCTCACACACATCAGCTTCTGTAATACCGGCCCCTTGGGTACTCTTGTAAATGAACTGAAGCACAGAGAATTCTAACCACACAGTTGGTAATTCATGTGCTCCACCCAACAGTGCAGCCTGTGGGCCTAGCTGTCCACCACCTGCAAACTGCCTTTCACTCAGAGCTTCCCCCAGAGGCCAGGATTTTCTGCCCCTGAGGAAACTGTCACTGGTTCTCTGGATTTAGGTCCAGAGGAATTCCTATGTCAAGACAAGGGTGAGGACAACCCCATGGTCCATCAAGCATTTCCTAATGGTTCAGAGATCCCCTGGGAACCTGCACCCCAAAGGGTGATGTTAAATAAAGACTTATGTTTTCTAGACTTGGTATAGCTCGGTTGGTAGAGCACTTGCCTAGCATGCAAGAATCCCTGGGTTCAATTCCTAGCACCACTTAATCCAGGCAGGGAGGCACTTACTCATAGCCCTAGCCACACTCAGCTACACAGTAAATTCAAGGCCAACCTGAGATACATGAGACCCTGTCTCAAAAAGAAAAACATTTAAATGTTTTTTTCCAGACAGATTTTTCTCTGTGTAACCACCCTGTTGTCTTGGAACTTGCTCTGCAGAACAGGCTGGCCTTGAACTCACAGAGATCCACCTGCCTCTGTCTCCCAAGTGCTGGTATTAAAGATGTGCGCCACCACCGCCCACCTCAAAAAAAATTTTTTTAAGACCCATGCTTGTCTAAGGTTGGAGTCAGACATGGGAGACATGAATGATGTGGGGTCAAGTGCGGACTGGGTCACCGTGGAGGAAAATAGTTATGGTTATGCCCTCAGTCAGAGAAGGAAAGCAGCAGCAGCAGCAGCAGCAGCAGCAGCAGCAGAAGTTTCCAGAACAAAAGGCAAAGCAGCATAAGGCTCCCTGCCCCCAAAGTGCTCCTCCTTTTCATCTCTACTCCAGTATACTCCAGGAGGATGTCTCCACAGGACAGACGTGGTACATAGGACCTCCCAGTTAGATGTTTCCCCCTCAGCTTGGCCAGGTTTATGAACTCACCCTAGGGTGAGGATGTTAAACGGCAGAAGGGCTTTGCTGCCACACCTGCATGCACTGTCCTTTCTCTTTCTCTACAAAGTCCCCACTCATGCAACAAGAAGAGGTACAGAAGCTGCCGAGTCTTATACAGCGTTCACTTGACCTAGCAAGCTGGAATATCATGTGGTGACAGACAGAATAAACAAACCATTGCATTTTTAACTGTGCAAAAACCAAATTCCAGTTCGGTGAACATGGTCTTTAGCGTTTTCATGTTGTTGATCACTCTGTCTGACAATCGAGTGATTCCCTCGATTGCTTTCCTTCTAATATTTGAGACAGGATCCAAAAAGGATAAGTGGATAATGGAGATGTGGTACATATATATGATGGAATTTTATTCTGCCATAAAGAAAGATGAAATAGGTGGGGAAATGGATGGAATTGAAAACTATCAGGTTGAGTGAGGTCATCTGGGCTCAGAAAGACAAACATATTATATCCATGTCATGTGGGGATCTTGACTCTCACTGCTAAATCTGTGTCTTTAGCCTGGCAAGTGGGTAAAGGCCAGGAATCTAGGAAGAGGTCCTGGGGATTGGAGAAAAAGGGGCTGGGGTTTGGGTAGACAAGCCAAGAAAATGAAAGGGGGATACCAGAGGTGGGAAGGGCAGAGAGATCACACGGAAACCTGTGACTTCCCAAGCGAATTACAAAGGAAACAGCTCCCAGGGATACAAAGGCATCTTGGCTCATGGTTGGGGCTTGTGTTCAGTCATGTTGTGGTGATGAATGCCTGTAATCCCAGGGTTGGAGATCAAGGGCTGCATAGCTGATCCTGTCACAAAGAAAGGAAAGGAACAGAAACCATCAGGTGAAGAGACAGCCAGTGGCAGAACAGTGGCCAATGCTGTAAGAAAAGAGACCACCCCTGGATGCTGTTGGGGAGGGGTGGGCCCAAATGCTGCCACAATCTGGAGATGGTGTTATCTAAGAGAAGCAGTTTTACCAAAGGACTCCTGGTCTCAGAGGCTTCCTTCCAAGTTCTCACTCAGCACGTCAGCCTGCAGAGGACAATTTATCTTCAAAATACAGTGGTGAAGTAGTCATTCATGCGGATAGATACATCGTGGAGAAGAATGCTCTGAGAAGAATGAAATGCCAGCACTGGCAAAAAAAATATACTTCTTTTTATAATGGAATTTTATTCAGTCACTAAAAAGGAATAAAGTGGGGCCAGCGAATTGGGTCAGCACACGAAGGCGCTTGGCGTCAAGCCTGAAGACCTCTGTTCAATCCCCAGCACCCGCTTGGGAGGAGGGAACTGTCTCCTTCAAGCTGTCCTGACTTCCACACACCCTCATGCTGATTGCCCTCCCTCACAGAAAACAAAAAAAAGGAAATAAATTAATGTAATTTGTAATGAAGTACTGACGTATGGATGAATTTCAAACCTATCATCCCAACTGAAAAAGCCAGCGGACTTAAAAGGTCACCGTAACTGTTTGTTTCCACTTGAGTCTTGAACTAAGACTCAAAGACAAACTCGGAGCGTCAGAGCAGACTGGCAGCTGCCCGGAGGAATGAAGGCTGCTGATGGATGAATGACTCGTGGCTCCCACGCGGGGATATGAAAACATTTGAGAACTACACAGAGGCAGCGTTTGTAGAGAATTGCAGATGTGCGGGCCGCCACTGAACCTCAAGGGTTCAGGGTTCACTTTACAGAAGGTGAATTTTACCTCAGTAAAAAATTCAAATTAAGTTTAAGGATGGACATGAAGACACATCTATCATCTCAGTACGAGAGAAGGAGGAGGATCTTGAAGTTGAAGACCAAACTGGGCTATGTATCAAAGTCCTGCCTTACATGTATGTATGGATGTATATATGTATGTATGTGCTTATGTATGTATGTGATAAGAATATCCCCTAGTAGCCCAGTAGTGGGTAACTCCGCCGATACAATAACCCAATCAAGTCGAATTTAAGTCCAAGTTTTAATCTGAGCAAATCACTCCTGAGTGTCCCAGGGGGAGAAAAGAAACCACAGGAAAACCACAAGGGGAAGCCCATGGAGCCAGACCTTACATATTCTTCGGGGATGGAGCTGCTGTTTGGCAGATTTCTTTGGGCAGGGTCTGAAGGAAATGGCTCCAGAGAAGGGGCTGCCGCTTGGCACACTGAGGGCAGGGTTTGGAGAGGGCAACTCCAGGGGAGATTCCCAACAATATGTATGTATGTATGTATGTTTGTATGTATATTTAAAAAGTGAGCTGACTTGCCGGGAGGTGGCAGCTCACCCCTTTAATCCTAGAGCCCCAGAGGCAAAGGGCGGCAGATAACTGAGTTCAAGACCAGCCCCGTCTACAGAGAAGTTCCAGGACAGTCAGGGCTATGCAGAGAAACCCTGTCTCAAAAGAATCAAATCAAATCACAAAAAGAAGAAGTGAGCTGACTTAAAAGGAAAGCTACAAATGAGAGTGCAAAGCAAAGCAAAATGCTCTAGCTGCAGAAGCCAAGAGAGTAGAAACCTCTGGGTGCATAAGGGGTGCAGAAGAACTCAGAAGCACAGAGGCATGAGGACCCTGCCTGTTGAACGGCTGCTTGCCATCCCGAATGGCATCACATACAGGTGTATGCTTTCCTGTCAGACCACATATAAATCTTCTACGCATTCTGCTACAGAGTGTGAATTTGCCCAGTCTATAAACCTCTTACCTTACAAGTGTGAGAACTTGAGTTGAACCCCCAGAACCCATGTAAAAAGCCAAGAATGGTGGCACATGCTTATAACCCCAGCTCTGGGGAGGCAGAGACTGGCAGATCCCTGGGGCTCACTAACCAGTCAAGCTAGTGAGAGACCCTGTCTCAAAAAACAAGGTAAATGGCACTAATGGAATGACACCCAAAGTTGGTCCTCTGGCCTCAGGTGTGCATAAGCATGTATACATGTACATGTATGTATACCAGTACACACCTGCAAACACTACACACGCACGCACACACACACACACACACACAGACACACACACACACACCCCACACCACACATACACATCTCAGAAAAGAAAGAAAAGTATGTGGATGGTAAGGCAGGCATCATATGGATTCTAAAAGCAGCCTGACACCCTAAAAGTCGCTGGCAGTCAATGAGATGCCCTGAGATCAAACACCCCCTGCTTTGTCCCGTCCTCCTCCAGAGAAAGAGTTCTGAGAAATAGCTGTGTAGCCATCCTCTGGGGCCTGGGAACATCTTCTGTCTGTCCCAACTCGGCTCACACAGCCTCCGGTCCATCCCAGCAAACTGAGAAACTATCCCAACCCCTTCTGTCCCAAGACAGAACCAGCCCAGGGTGGAGAAGGGCCTGGATCAGCAGGATTCCTGACACACGTGCTGTAATTGCTGGCTACCAAGCTAAAGGAACCTCATTGTGTCCGGCTCGAATCAAGAAGCAGGAAGAGCAGGTGAAACCGCTCCAGTTGTTACTTTGCTCCTTCTCCCTCCTTCTGGAACATTCCCGGGGGATCTTCCCAACCTCCTCTCCTCATATCTCCAGCCAAACCAGTTAAGTGCTTGTCTGAAAAACTCTGCTACCCAGCAGCTCTGCTTGTGAACTGCCTGCCTGGACTCAGAGAGCAACAGCCACCTTTTGCTCTTTTTAATAATATTATTAAAAATATTTTTTACTTGTATCTACACAAAAATAATAAATAATATATTAGAAATTTGTTTTGAAAAATAATAAAACCCCAATTCAGTTTGAATTAAGAAAACAATAAATGCTATAAATTTTGGCACCCATCACTGAAAAGTCCAGTGATCTGCAGTTTCAGGTGCTGCAGGATGCAGAGACCCAAACATGAGCTCAGAACTTGGACTTCCCCTTCTTGTCTATGATGTTAGGTTTATTCTTAGACATATTCTCCCACACAGTGTGTCAAGATGATGTCATAGTCCTAGCACGTGTCCTACCTCTTAGTACCCTAAAAGAAAAGAAGATTCTCTCCTTAAACAATTTCTAGCTCACCGAGTGAGCTGTGTTCACATATTTGGGCCATTGACCTTTTCCTGAATCCAACAGTACAGTCAAGGGATGAAGCCATGATTGGCCACGCCTGGATCCTTCACTTAGTTTTCAACTAGGGGAGCAGCCTGGGCTTTAAAGGCAATATTGAAAGAGACTAGGGTAGAGAGTGATTACCCAAGAGTCTCTAGCACTCAGCAGGGATAATAGTTACATGTGACAGATACGACATAGGAAATGGGGATCAAGCAGGAAGAAAACAGAGGCCACCATTATTCCGTGATTCAAGTTTCCATCCAGATGGAATGTCATCTGGGCCATCTTTTCATACCAATCCAGCTTGAAAGAGTTTCCAAGCCAAAAATGTTAAAGTGACTGGGGTGTAAACATGAGAAAGCAAAGCAGAGAACTCTGGGGTGAGAAAATGAGGCTGGTCATCTGTGGCTCCCAGACAGCCTTGTACGACAGTTAGCCAGCAGGTCTCCCTCAACCTTGGAACAAACTTCTAAGGTCACTTTAAATTTTACCTGCAGCTACTCATGCATAATCAATATACCCATCCATCCATCCACCTATGCATCTACTCGTCCATCCATCCCCCTGCCCATCCATCCATCCATCCATCCATCCATCCATCCATCCATCCATCCATCTACCTATATATAGGTGGATGGATATCCACCTATGCATGCATGCATCCGTCATCCACCTATCCATCTACCTATCCATCCACTCACCCATTCAACTATCGACCTACACACCCGTCTATGTATCCATACACCCATCCATTCATACACATATTTATATATTTATTGAACTACCCACCTATCCAATAATTACCTTTTTAAACTCAAAAGTTGTACTATCTGGTTCAAATACAAGTCATAACATTTATAGCTGTGTGACTTTGGGCAAGATTTTTGATCCGTATATGACTCCAATTTTGCTGTGTAAGATTGTTTTGAGCCAGGTCTGGTGGCTCAGGCCTCTAATGCTCACTACTCAGGAGGCCTTGGCTACAAAGTGAGTTTAAGGTCAATTTAGGCAACATCAAAGACCTGTATTTAAAAGAGAAAGAAAGGAAAAGAGGGAGGGAGGGAGGAAGGGAGGGAGAGAGGAAGGGAAGGAGGAAGGGAAAGAGGGAGGGAGGAAAGAAGGAAGGAAGGAGGCAAGAAAGTGTAAAAAGGGAAAGAAATACAGTTTAATGGTAGAGCACCTGTCTAGCAATCATGAGACCGTGGGTCCAGTCTCAGCACCTCAAAAACAAAATAATAGATAAAAATGCATACATGTATATAATTTTAAAAAGGCAGTCACTAAGTTCTTTGCTGAGGGAAGGGCTCATGAAAGATCCTTGGCAGAGTTTTCTTTGTGTACTTGGGAGAGGTGTGGGTGTGTTTGCAGGTTGGTGCAGGCACGTGTGAAGGTACATGTGTACTCATGTCCACATGGAGGCCAGAGGTCATCTATGGGTGTTGTTCCTCAGGTGCCATCCATCCATGAGGAGAAACAGTGTTTCTCATTGACTTGGGGCTCACTGATTAGGCTAGGCTGGCTTGCCAGTAATCCTCAGAGATCCACCTGCTTCTGCCTTTTTATTACTGGTATTATGCACCACCATATCTGACTTTTTATTTTTATTTGTGTGTGTGTGTGTGTGTGTGTGTGTGTGTGTGTGTGTGTGTGTGT